CAAGCACCTCGTAGGTGTCATACACAAGGAATTTATGAATAAAGGACAAAAGGGTATCCATGACCACAAATTTGAATAAATTACAGAACAAAGACTGTTGCTTCTGTGTGAATGAGATTTTTTATGCTACTATGTGTTTTAAATAAGGATTGATTTAAATTTGGTAAAATAAATCGAAATCATTCCCTCTGTTCATATTTTTATGGTCTGCAGAAGTCACTATTACCTTAAAATCAAGGCTAGGTCTTCTGACAAGAACGATCGCACAAATTATTTATTTTTAAATGTGTGTGGCTTCAGACTTAAAAAAACCACGAAGAAAACCTTAGGGGCTGAAGTCTGCACGGGGAAGTTCATAACTGCATCCTTTTTCGGTCTTGACAGCTTCATTATCACACTATCTCATTTCTGTTATCAGTAATTTTCAGGAGGGACAGAAATTTATACACTGAAAGTAAGTGAGATGCATATTTATAATACTGAGCAAGTGAAAAATTGTGGCTTGTGGGTTAATACAGCCAACTTTGCTTTTAAGAATGTGCGTTAACAGGGTTACTGCCTCATTTATAAGTAGTTTGTTTCATTCTTTTCCTGTGATATTATTTCTGTTTAAAACAGTATTTATATTATAAACTCTTTTGTACTTTTATGTATCTATTTGATATGGTAAGGAGGTATAGCGAGTCTTAACTAAAAAGAAAGTTATGCTTGTGTAAAATCTGTGATAAACGGGGCAAGAAGAGACTGGCCAGCTAGTTCATGAGTCATGTCTGAAGAAACCCGGAGTACTTTTCAGTAGGGAACTTGGCTCAGTCTTGCTCAGTTGTGTCTATCATTAAAAATTACTTCTGCAATAGACCTCTCTCCACCCTCCCCAGACACATCCATCCTCATTTTGAATACAAGGATCTGCAAATACATCTCTGAGAGAGGTTTTAATAAATTAAATGGCTGAACACTTAATATAACCAACTTTTGCCTTTTGGAGTGCTTTTTATGTTATTGCTTTGACATTAAGGATGACGTTAATAATTATCCTTCCCCTGCTGACACGTTCACTATTATTTCAAAAATCTCTATGAAAAAAATTATAACATTCTATGTACACAGTTTGAAAAATTGTGTAGATAGAACTGTATAGATAAAATTCTAAATTTGTTAAAATTGCTGAACATTTGAGAATATGTTTATATGAATATCATAGGTTAGAAAATTTAAAATATTTTTGTGTGACTTAGTTATAATAGCACATACATTTGGCCTCTTGTTTTGTTATTTACAGATACCAAAACCACACTTAAAGCCATAAGAATTAATTTATAGTCGGTACATTTCTATAGTTGATACTTTTGTAAGAATTAATTTATAGTCAGTACATTTCTATAGTTGATACTTTTGATTTTGTTTGTGCAAACTCAATGTCAGTGACAGGAAGTCCTGTTTTCTAAGTCTGTACACAGAAACTAGAGTGCTCCTTTGTTCTGATAAGTAAATTCTAAAGCAAAGTTAGTGCCTGTAAAGCCTTTGGCTTGGGAATTCTAAAGGGAGAAAGAAAAAGCCCTGATAGCCACAGAGTCCCCGATTTTATAAGATTGCTCTGAAAGTCTGACGATAATGCCAAGCTGTGATATGTAGAGTCTGTTCCAGTGAAGACAGTGGTGCGCTCTTTACCAAGGTTCACTGATAACGTGCAGAGACTGAGACGTTCCTCACACATCTCAGGGAAGCCTGGGAAGCTCAGGCTTTCAGTGCTGTCTGCCTGGAGCAAGGGTGGAGATGGTGCAGTGTGCACGTCTGGATGTGTGTGCACATCCGCCTGCCTGCACATCTGGTGGTCGAGCTTAGGTGGTAGGCTAATTGCTGAAAGTACTCTTTACAAAAATCCAGTGTGGATATTTAAATGGGGCAGGGAATGGAGGCTGGGAAATAACGGGCATAATAATATGGGTGTCATGCGCATATGTACGTGTGTGTGTGTGTTTTGCGAAGTCACATTTGAAGACTTTAGATTTAGTTCCTGCCTTTGTTCTGCTTTTCACTTTACTGAGTAATCCCTACTTTTTGGACGGGACATTTTGTTAGATACAGAATACAAATTGACAGGGGCTAAGGCCTCAGCCTACTCGGACACCATCTGTAGGGGGTGTGGGAATAGGCACAGTTCAGCTCTCATAATTGGTAGGTCGTAAATGCAAATTTAGAAAGTAGTGTGGAGGTGTGGGTGGGAATCCTCGTTTTGTAAATTTCACTGCCTCAACAAAAACAAAGTCCCAACCAGGTGGGGCTACAAGGTCTGACAATTAAGTTCATGAACTGTTCTAGGAAATGTACTGCACACCTCAATGCTGAATACCACTATGGTCTCCTTTGAAGTACTCCCCATGGGAAGCTATGCACCTGAGCCAGGGCTTAGTCCACCCTTCAATGCAATTTTGTAACTCTTTTGATGGAAGGACCAACAAAGCCTTGATGTCCTGTATGTCATCAAAATGTCTTCTTTTTAATATTTCTTTTATCTTTGGGTAAACAAAAAAAGTTCTTGGGGGCCAGATCGAGTGAGTAGGGAGGTTCCAATACAGCTGTTTACTGGCTAAAAACTCCAGTTGTAATGCAACTCTTGTTGTAATGCAAGAGCCATATGTTTCTCATGCCATGATTTTCAGTTAAGATTATCCTGTTTCTCCATTGAAGTTAATTTGATCGGTTTATACTTTTTACAGTCAACTGGTGATTTCAATGCACAATTTGGCAAATTTTTGCAATGTTTTTCATCACTTTTGCTCATTACTGGCTGTCCTCACCTCTCTTTATTATTAATGCTTTCTCCTCCTTCAAAAAAAATGTTTAACCCACTTGTACACTGCCATTTTCTTCCTGGTATTATCCCCATAAACTTAGACTAAGATATCCTGGATTTCACTTCCACTCTTGCCAAGTTTAACAAGCAATTTAATGTCTGTTCATTGCTGTAATTCAAGCACGACATTCTCATGATGGGACACTATAACATGCGACAACAATAATGAATGCCACTCAGCAAGACACCACCACGCATCAGCATGAGCACAGCTGTGAGTCACTGCTATACCAAGGTTATAAAACCTCACTGAGTTGTTTGTACAGTGCTGCCAATGGAAGTGCACTGTGGCAATTTCACAAACATAATTTTATAACATTTTAGCAATTTTATGACAAGCAGTCCCTAAATAGGTCAGTATATTGGTGACTCACTTTGTTTTAAATATGAACTGTTCAGAAAGGTGAACTTCTAGTTCCTTAGTCTCCATTCATCTTTCTCAACATTATTTGTGTATTTTTGTGCAATTATATTTACATAAACATCCTTAAAACATTTCTTAGCCAATAGCATTTTACAAATATATATGTGCTATAAAGTGTGTAATGATAAAGTCAACACTTGTATACTATCTTAAAAACATAACATCAATATGTATTCATAATTAATGGAAAAAACAGAAACAATCTGAATATATAATGAGTGGAGGGTGTGTAAATGCATTTTAATTTCCTTTTTCAATTAACATTTCCTTTTTCACTTGGTGTTTTTGTGGTCTGCCTCTGAACACTGCCATCTAGCTCTTGTCTAGAAAATATGCATCCATCAGTGTTTGCTCAGGTAAAGGGTAGCCCTGGTGCCCAAAGTGCTGCTGGGAAATAATTTGATTTACTTATTATATTAGGTATATATATATATATATTTAACCCAGCCATAATCTAGCAAATGTAAATAGAATCTACAGAATTAGCTGATGTATTTATTATACAAACTATAGTAACTATAGACATAGTTACTATATTACAAAACTATACTAACTATAATACACTAACAATATACAATGACATGGTTTACTTTTTCAGTAAAATCTTAGTAAATAGGATGGGTGGAGGGAGGGAAATTGGTGGGACCACACCTACGATGCATCTTACAAGGGTACATGTGAAATTTACTAGGTGTAGAATATCAATGTCTAAACACAATAACTAAGAAAATGCTGTGAAGGCTATGTTAAACAGTTTGATGAAAATATTTCAAATTGTATATAAAACCAGCACATTGTACCCTATGATTGCATTAATGTACACAGCTATGAGTTAATAAAAATAAAAAAAAAAATTAGTAAATATCTGTAGTGAAGATTCCAAAGGTGAATCACAAAACTCACTAGTTAAAAACACTGAGAAAATTAAGCAAGTTGAGTGCTCACCTCTCAGTATAAACTGTACTTATTGAAAAAAAAAATCTACATGTAAGTGGGCCCCCACAGTTTCAACACATGTTGAACAAGGGTTAACTAAAATTATTTTTCATATTAGAGGTAATTTATTCAAATTTAATAATTCAAAAATTAATAACTGAATTAATTTCAGTAGCATATAGTTTAACTGAAGAATACATAATTTCTTTGTAGTCTCTGAGTGTGTTTGGTTAATTCAACCTCAGCCAACAAGTTCAGAATGCCTCTCATGAGTAAATTTGTGGTTCATGATGACTGGGATCATCTTTTAATTCTTATTTGTGAATGTGGCTTAGACACACATTTTGCTCTCATTGGAGGGATAGGCATTTAGAAACTACCCCATCAGGGATTCAAAGGTTAGAAGTCCAAAAATGTCTGTAATCCAAACATTTTGGTAATATCATCTTTGTCATGATGAGATATTGAAGTAAGATTGGATTTTTATTTATTTTTAAGTAGTCTTATGACTGAGAACTCTCACAAAATTAGTAGCACCTAACATAAATGTTAACTTAAAATAACTAATCAAAAGTTTATTACATGAGATAAGCCTTGTTATTTGGACAACAGTTTAGAGCCTTAAATATTCCATCAGTAGACTGTTATCTCTGTTAGTCTTTTGTGGCATAAATAAATGTTCTCTTGGGGGAAATTAGCAATTTTAAAAATACTTTTTTGAAGAGATTCGTTTTATAAGTAGGAAGATTCTAAGTATGTTTTGTCTTTAATTTTTATTCTCAGGTTGGTGAGACTAGATGCAAAAAGGTTTGTACTTCCAAGTCTGATCTGAGATCTAACGATTTCAGCATTGTTGGAAGCTTACCAAGAGATTTTGAATTATCCAATTATGACTGCTATGGAAAACCCATTGAAGTCAACAATGGACTTGGAAAATCTCAGGCAAAGAACAACAAGAAGCCTCCCCCGGCCAAACCTGTTATTCCCACAGCAGCAAAGAGAATTGATCTTTATGCGAGAGCGTTGTTTCCTTTCTGCTTCTTGTTCTTCAATGTTATATATTGGTCTATATACTTATGATAAATCTTTTCCACTTGTATAAAATAAAATGCCATTTCCTGTGACCACCCTTACTCATACATGCCAATCTGTGAAAACTTTTGCATTTTCATAGCAATATATTGCATTTTGGATGCCATTTGATTGTAATAACAATGTGGCACCTTCGTTTTGAATGGCAGCATGATTATATAATGTCTGTGCTCAAATAATGATGTATATATGTATAGTGAACATATTGCTTTAGGGATAAACGAAAGATAGACATACTACATAATATAAATGCAAACACTTCTCTTTGGTTAGTGTAAACTGCAAATACTTCAGATAATTCTGATTATCAAATGATGTGCACGCTGAATCCTGTTATGGTCACCACTCTGACGTATGTAGTATTTCAAATTTCCTTCCTTGTAACTTTCAGAGAAAGTCATCTGACTCTTGTATAATTTTAGAAGGTATTAGCACAGATTATGCGAAGCTGTACTACATATTATTTAAACTTTATATTTAAATTATATATAAATTATAAATAAGTTATAATTCTGCAGGCTCTGTGGAGAAACAAAGTTCAAAAATTATGACTTTGTACAATAAGCTCATTTTAAAGTGTGCTTGTGCTCTCAAAATGTCAGACAATGATTCACAATAAGCATTTTTGAAACAAAGGGAAGCCTGGACTTATGTGAAAACATACAGAATTCCGCCTTCTGATATAATAAAAAATAAATAAAGGATAGATTCATTGATTAAATATTTAGGATATATTTCCACGGATTTCATTTGTTGATGCAGAGTACACAAAACATTGTGCCTTAAAAACAGTCATCCGTATTTTAAATTGGAATGTAGTAATAGACGTGTGATTTTACATCATTTTTAAGAAACCAAAAAAGCTATATATATTCTATTGCTAGAAGTAGCTTGAGTTGGGGGGAAAAAATCATAGTTAAAGGACTTTAACTTCTTTATGAAAATGCTTACATATTTTTTACCTAAATTAAAATGTTTTCTGAATTAATTTATTTTTTATTTATTTGAATATTTTGGGATTTATTACAAAATATTTAAAGATTAAGTAGATACTATCTGTGTTTATGTTAGACTTCATTTCTACTTGTGTTTTCTTTCTTGCTAAAAGTCTAGACAACTGAGATTTAGTTACTTTGATCTTGTTCCAACCTGAAGGGAAACGCCAAGCCTCATTTTATGAGATCTCCCATTTCCTAGAGATCTCACATCCAGTGCACCTTTCTATGTCTGCCATAACTGAAGTTGAGTATTTCATATGATATAAAAACAACACAAAAGAATTATATTCACATTATTTGAAGTGTTTTGTGGCAGTTGGGAGCTTATGTGGCCAATTCAATAATAAAATGTATTAAAATATGATGTATGCAAATTGCTGTAATTCAATGCTATTCAATTTATTGAAGCTTTTAATTTCTAAAAAATTCTCACTTATCACAAAATTGTTTAAAAGTAGTATAATCCAATTTTCAATAGTCTTTCAAACCCCCTCTCATTGCAAAAGCATAGCTGTTCAAATAATTTTAAAATGCTACAAATAACTGTACTGATGGACTTAAATATCTAACTAAGAGCCAGGGAAGTAGCATTTTACTGGAAGTGTGGTAGGAAAAAATTATCTTGACTAGACATGACTAAATTCATGAAAAATTTATATTTGTAATAAGTGTAGGCATTTGCTTATAATCTATTTTTTTATTTTTGAAAATATTCATTTTACAGAATTGGTTCTAGATTAATTTTGACTGGAAGATATATAGAATATATAGATGATGGGTCTCATCATGAAGAAATTTATTTGTGAAATATAAAGAGAATGAACTAATTTTCTGTAATATTGTAGCTTCTTAAGATCAATTTTAATGCCCAGATGTATTTATATAAATAACTACCCCACAGTTAAGTGTGTATCTATAACTAAAAAAGGAACTTTAGATAGTGATCATAGCAGAGAGGTGTCTGCTGACAATTGGTTTGTAACTCTTCTCTCAAAGGTTTAGTAATTTAATTCCAGCACAGTTCTGATATGTGTGCTTTTAATATTATGTATTTCTAGAAGATGGTCTGCAGATACCGCAAATGCAACACAGTGTTTTCCAAATAAAAATTATCACCTCCACACAAATCAGTAAGTCCTCTTATTTTCTATTTATGTTAGTCATTGCTATTCCAGTCACCCCGGTTAAATTTTCTTTCCTTTCCCGCACTCTTATTTTAAGTACCAAGTCTATAAATCTCCCTCTTAACACTTACCATCTCCTCTGCATTGCTGCTAACACACACCACATGAATTCAGTTTCTTACTTTAAGCTAATCAGACTGTTTGAGCAGTCTGCACTCTCACTCCATAGTAACTCAATTTAATTTTGAACTAACTTTATACAAGGCAAACGACTTACACAATCCAGAGAGGAACCAGAGTATTGAACTAACCTTGCAATTTTTATTTTTTGACTG